CATCTAGCATTTTCAGTTCGATGACAGGTTTGCTTTAAATTCAGAAATTTAATTTTTTTATTGTAGGCCTGTAATTTTTAGGAATAACTCACTGAAATCTGTCCGAACAAGAGTCTAGTAAACATCCCGGGTATGATAAAATTTGAAACACGAAATCATAAATTCTAATATAATAAATAATCATAAAAAATAATAATATAAATGAAAGTCATTCCCTACTTGCAAGGAGAAATACAATTCTGAAATTCACTTTATCTGCCTCTTCAGAATTCTTCTATAGGCATGGGATCATTAGCCCTAACACAAGTGATATTTCATGTATGGATGGAGTCTGGTTGTTCAAGTCGCCTCTCGAATTCTAGCACATGCATATCGTACTGGCTTTGATTCGGCCAACATTGGGGTGTCCCAACACCCTCCACTGCATTCTGCACAATATGAAAAAACATGGGGATGGTAGACTTTCTTGTAGCTGTTGTGGATAATGTAAGGAATCAGAACAGAAGTAACTCCACAGAGTCCTCAAGAGATAGAAGAAAGCATTAGGGGGTTTAACCTGTCTCTATCTACAAAAAAAGAAACATCCATTTTAGGCGGATCTGTAAGCAACAATAACTTTCGTTCATGCAACACTATGTTGGTGGACTGTGTGTGGATGACCTTAGGTCAACTATGTCCTTCTATAGCAGGGGTCTAAAACATTTTTAAACAAAGCACCACTTAACTGTCCTTTAGGTTTTAGGGGGGCCAGACTGTGGCCAGTGAGATTACAAAACGCCCTGGGAGTAAACAGTGCTCCATTATTGTTTTTAGTGGAAAGAATGGTACCCAATTCTTGGTATTAGTCAGAGGAATGGTGCACCATTGTTGGCATTTAGGGGAGGAATATTGCCCCATCGTTAGTGTCTGTGGGAGGAATATTGCCCCAACACTGGTGTCAGTGAAAGGAATAGTGCCCAGTCATTGGTGTCTATGAATGGAATGGTGCCCGAAGGGCCAGGTAAATACAAGCAAAGGTCGACATCCAGTCCCTAGGTGGCAGTTTAGAGACCACTGCTTTCTAGGTTCCCAAAGACAGGACAAAGCAGCTCTAATGTGCATCCGCAGCCTGAACCCTTATGGAAATCCAATATGATAACATGGCAGCCCAGACCCCACACCATCTAAAAAATAATCTCATCTTGCTGGGGCTCCTTACATGGAGGTTACATGAGTGTTTTCCATAGATGGTACACTGCCAGCAGAGTACTAAACATGGTGAAATGCATCTTTTCCAATTGGATGGATGCTTTAAAGAGAACTATCCAGCACACTGTACCCTACCTGACTCCTCCCAATGATATATTTTTATCTGTAAAGATCACATTGTACAATCTACAAGGAAGGAAGAGGTCAGGTGGGACATATTATTTGAACAGTGCCCTTGTATGGCTTCCATCTGTTAGAAAACGCATGTGAGATTGGACATATTCTGGATACTGGCACCCACTACTAGCTGCAAGGATGAAAGGACCTAGAGCATAGCATTACCTTTGTTTACAGAATATGTAATTGAGCCACCATAAGCATCACCTGGCAGTAGAACCAGAGAGAACCCCCTGATGGGACATTGCAACATAACACCAGCACCACCAACAGGATATTTTCACCTAGAGGCAGCACCAGAGAGAACCCACAGATAGGACATTGTTACCCAGCATCAGCACGAGGTAGAACCAGCAGACGGGACATTCTTACTTGGCATCAGCACCAAAGAGAACCCACAGGCAGCACATTGTCACCTGGTCGCAGCATCAGAGAGAACCCATAGACAGAACAATCTCACCTAGTGGTGGCACCAGAGAGAACAGACTGGAAATGGTCATCTGGCCACAACACTAGAGAGAACCAACAGACAATGTCATCTAGTGGCAGCAACAGAGAAGACCTGCAGACAGGACATTATCACCTGATACAGCTAAAAAGGTCATCTCAGGTGTACCCTACAGGGAAAGTACAATGAATATTTCAAATTGTTAGGGCAGTGTTCATCAAAAGGTAATTTTTATTTAATTTTCATATTTTGCAAAGCTTGTCTATAGGACAAAAAATGATGGGAAATTGCAAAAAGAAAAAAACAGCAGCAATAAAACATACAAAAAAAAACATTTTGTGCATATATTTAGATCAGTGTTTCTCAAACTTTTTTCAGTCAAGGCACCCACTAAAAGTTTAGACAATGTCAAAGCACCCACTAAAATTATTGACAGTCCTGACGCAGGAACATCCACACATGTAGGACACCCAACGTTAGAGGGGATTTATCCTTTCAAAGCGAATACACTTTTGCACCCTGGTACTGACTAGTATTCCAATGTTTCTCTTCTCCCTCAGTTTTTCTCCATCACTGAGCTAATGTGACCCCAGCACTGAAGGAGAGGGGCACAGGAGGTTCAAACAAGGATGCTGTGAAGGCAACCAACATCTTCCTTATCAAGAGATGATGTCATTGGTTGTCAGGATGCAGGTGGCTAGAAGATTGTAATGGTGCACAACAGGGGCGGACTGACCATTTGGAAACTTGGGCACTGCCCGAGGGCCTGGGGTCAGTAGGGGGGCCCCATGAGATGTCCCTGGTACCTTTTTCATAGGCTTTTTTGAGTTTGGGCAAGGACACAGGGGCCCCATGATCCCCTATTGCCCGGAGGCCCCATGAGGTGTCAGTCCGCCCCTGGTGCACAATGAAAACCTGTGGCTTTGTGTAACTTAAAGGCAGGCTTGTTCCACCATTGGCTTGTATACATGTTTTGGACAATTTTTTTACATTTTGCCAAGGCACCCCAAGGAGGCTGGGCACCCTGGTTGGAAAATGCTGATCTAAATTATATACTAAAGGGATCTCTCTGGTATCACATTCTCTGTTTCTTAACAACTGCTGAGATAAAATACTGTCCACACAGGGAGGGCATTGTTTTCAGTGCATTGGCTGGCTCGCAGAATTGCATTGTGAAAAAATACAGCAAAGCATGACTATTGTGTATCACTGCAAACCAAGAAACAGAGCCTAAGCATGTAACAAGAAAAAAAGCCTTTTCTACATAGAAGCAAGGCTGTAAAACATAAAAACACATTGATGGGACTATCTACATCATGCTGATCTCATTCAAGAAATATACACACTATACATTCCCTTTAGGTACATTTCACAGATAGGAGTATCTTTTCCCCAAACATTCATTTGCCTGAACAGATCTCAGTCAACTGCTCTTCACCTTCTAAGATCTGACATTCAGAGCATTTGAGTAAGGTTGTAAGAAACAACGATTGTTGCAAAAGTTCTCATTACATTCAAGTAGATTATAAAAGCTGGCTACACCATCTACAATTTCGTCTTCCAAACAATATTTCCTACATTTAATTGAAAGATACGTTCATTATTTTACCATACAACCTAAAATGAGTAGATTGTGATATGCTTGGTTATTATTCAATGTAACCTATGAGTGGGACAATTTGTCTCAGCACCAGTTATACTTCTAGAATTATTTGCTGGGTGAGGGACAGGAAGCACATCTTGAGGGTGCTACATGAGAGACACCAGCCTGCCATGTCCCAGTGTTGTGGTTTTACCTCCAGGTGGTATATGGCAATGCTTGGCATCTATGGAGGGACATGGTGGCAGCATTATAAAAGAAGCCTGCCTTGTCCTGGTGTTGTGGTTTTGACTCCATGTGGTAGATGGAAATGCTTGGAAATGTGAGGACATGGTGGCAGCACTGTGGATGCTTGATTGTGAAAGAAGCCTGGCATGTCCCAGTCTTGTGGTTCCTCTTCCAGGTAGTATAAGGCAATGTTCAGCAACTATGGGAAGATATGGTGGTAGATGGGAATAGAAGCCTGCCTTGTCTTGGTGTTGCGGTTCTCGCTCCTGGTGATGTATGGAAAGGCTTAGTATCTATGGGAGAACATGGCAGCAGCATTGTAGGTGGTAGATGGTAACAGAAGCTTGCCATGTCCTGGTGCTGTGGTTTTCCCTCCACATGCTATATGGCAATGCTCAGCATCTATGGAAAGGACTGGCAGCAGCGTTGTAGGTGGTATATGGTAGCAGAAGCCTGCCATGTCCTGGTGCTGTGGTTCTGCCTCCAGGTGGTATATGACAATGATCAGCATCTATGGAAAGGCTTTGCAGCAGCGTTGTAGGTGGTATATGGTAATAGAAGCCTGCCATGTCCTGGTGCTGTGGTTCTGCCTCCAGGTGGTGTATGGCAATGCTTAGTATCTAAGGGAGAACATGGAAGCAGCATTGTAGGTGGTAGATGGTAGCAGAAGCCTTTCATGTACTGATGTTGTGGTTTTTCCTCCAGGTGGTATAAGACAATGCTCAGCATCCATGAGAAGATATGGAAGCAGCTTTGTAGGTGGTATATAATAACAGAAGCCTGCCATGTCCAGGTGCTGTAGTTCTGCCTCCAGGTGGTATATGGCAATGCTCAGGCATCTATGGGAGGACGTAGCAGCAGCAGCATTGTAGGTAGTAGGTAGTAACAGGAGTTTGCCATGTCTCAGTGCTGTGGTTCCCCCTCCAGTTAGTATAGGGCAATGCTCAGTGTCTATAGGAAGACATGGTGGCATCTTTGTAGGTGGCAGATTGTAAAAGATGCCTCCCATGTCCCAATGTTGTGGTTCTCACTCCAGGTGGTATATGGCAATGCTTGGCATCTATGGGAGTACATAGAAGCAGCAGTGGTAACAGGAGTTTGCTATGTCTTGGTGTTGTGGTTCTCCCTCTCTTGTTAGTATAGGGCAATGCTCAGCGTCTATGGGAAGACATGGTGACAGCATTGTAGGGGGGGCAGTGTGTAAAAGATGCCTCCCATGTCCCAATGTTGTGGTTCTCACTCTAGGTGGTATATGGCAATGCTCGGAATCTATGAAAGAACATGGCGGAGGCATTGTGGAGTGTAATAGAAGACGTGCTTGGACACAACTTGCAAGGGAGTAGGTGCTTCCCAGGTTGCTTATAATTCCTCAAAGAAGTCATTCTGTTCATTGGTTTGTTTCATATTTAGCATTTTGATCTCAGGGATGGAATTCTGTCTGCCCAGATACACAAATGTGTGCCAGGCTTTTTTCTGCATCTGGCGGAACCTAGATACAAAGTTTTCATTGGTCACAAGGTACAGCAGAGGGTTAATGGCGCTATTCATGCAGGCCAGGCCCCTGGTGACCTGGTAGGAGATATAGAGGTTCCTCAGGGTCTGCGTGCAGCCTCCTTTTAGCTGCCACACCCTGGAAAGCAGATTGATATTCCGGAAGATGTAATATGGGAAAAAGCAGACCGCAAACAAGACCAGGATGATGAAAACCAATTTGATGCTTCTACTTTTCAGGTTTGTATCCACATTGGTGTTCTTTGTCAGGACGGTGAGGATGCGGGTGTAACATGCTACAATTATGAGAAACGGTATCAAAAATCCAGTGACCGTAATTGTGAATGTGTATGGTGCATACGATTCCACATGATCATTAATGGTGGAGTCATGGCAATAGGTGGCATTTTTCATGGCATTTGTAAAGTAAAGATGAGGCAAGATCTGAATTATTACCAGAATCCAGACAAGGATGCTGATGTAAAATGATGGCCGTAAGCTGTGGAGTCGCCCCATCATTTTCATGGGGTGGACAATTCCTAAGTAGCGTTGGATGCTGATGCAGGTGAGGAAGCTGATACTGGCGTACATGTTAATGTGAAAGAGGAGGCGAGCCAGCCGGCAGAAGTCATAGCCAAATATCCAAACGCCTTCATTGAAATAATAGGACACAAAAAATGGTAAAGTGAACACATAGAGGAGATCAGCAATACCCAAGTTAAACACAAAAACATTCAGGGATGTCCACTTCTTCCAGTTCCCGCATAGATTCCACAGGCCAAATACATTCCCCAATGAGCCAACGATAAACACCACAATGTAGACCGACGACAAGTAAAGGAAAGTAAAGTTCTTGTTTATCTTACACTTTGCGCTGACGTTGAAGTTGGAGACAGTTACAGCTGTTTCAAAGAAATCCTCTTCCATTATTTCCTGTGTGCAGAAAGCAATGAGATCCACAAATATGTGGTGTTATGCTTGTCCTAGTAGGATACACAACCTCAGTACAGGTCCAAGCAGCTTCTGGGTCTTGGGTTCTGCTGCTTGTCCCCTGGAACTACATACAACACTTGTTGAAGGTTCAGAGCTTAAATCTCCAAAAGACCACATACAGCCTCCATTATAGGTCCTGGGCATTGATCCCCTGGTACTATAGACAGCCTCTAGGTCCTAGGTTCTGGGCACACACCCCCTGCTACTTTACACAACCTCTGGGTGCCAAACCCTGACATCCATGGTACTATATATAATTTCTGGGCTCCAGCTCCTGGGCACACATCTCCGGTACTATATTCAGTCTTGGGGCTCTCTGGTCTCCAGTTCCTGGGCACACATCCCCCGGTGCCATACAGTACTTTCGTTTTAGGTCCTGGATTCAAATATCCTGTTACTATACACAGTTTATGGTTGCAGGTCCTTGTACTACAGCAAAATATACAGTTTTGTATGCAGATCCTAGTACTCTGGCAGTATAAATAGTCTCTGGTACAGATCCTGGTACTCTGACATTATACAAAGTCTCTAGAGCAGATCCTGGTGCTGCAGTCTCTGGTACAGGACTTGGTACTCTGGCACAATGCACAGTCTCAGATGTAGGTCATGGTACTCCACAACTATACACAGTCTATGGTACAGGTACTGGTAATCCAGCACTATGGACAATCTCTGGTGCAGGTCCTGGTTGTCTGGCACTATACACAGTCTCTGGTGCAGGTCCTGGGTTTCTGGTACTATCCACAGTCTCTGGTGCAGGTCCTGGGTTTCTGGTACTATCCACAGTCTCTGGTGCAGGTCCTGGTTCTCTGGCACTATACACAGTCTCTGGTGCAGGTCCTGGTACTCTGGCACTATACACAGTCTCTGGTGCAGGTCCTTGTTCTCTGGCACTATACACAGTCTCTGGTGCAGGTCCTGGGTTTCTGGTACTATCCACAGTCTCTGGTGCAGGTCCTGGTTCTCTGGCACTATACACAGTCTCTGGTGCAGGTCCTGGTTCTCTGGCACTATACACAGTCACTGGTTCAGGTCCTGGTTCTCTGGCACTATACACAGTCTCTGGTGCAGGTCCTGGTACTCTGGCACTATACACAGTCCTGGTGCAGGTCCTGGGTTTCTGGCACTATACACAGTCTCTGGTGCCAGGTCCTGGGTTTCTGGCACTATACACAGTCTCTGGTGCAGGTCCTGGGTTTCTGGTACTATCCACAGTCTCTGGTGCAGGTCCTGGTTCTCTGGCACTATACACAGTCCTGGTGCAGGTCCTGGTTCTCTGGCACTATACACAGTCACTGGTTCAGGTCCTGGTTCTCTGGTACTATCCACAGTCCCTGGTGCAGGTCCTGGTTCTCTGGCACTATACACAGTCCTGGTGCAGGTCCTGGTTCTCTGGCACTATCCACAGTCCGGGTGCAGGTCCTGGTTCTCTGGCACTATACACAGTCCTGGTGCAGGTCCTGGTTCTCTGGCACTATACACAGTCTCTGGTGCAGGTCCTGGGTTTCTGGTACTATACACAGTCCTGGTGCAGGTCCTGGGTTTCTGGTACTATACACAGTCCTGGTGCAGGTCCTGGGTTTCTGGTACTATCCACAGTCTCTGGTGAAGGTCCTGGGTTTCTGGTACTATCCACAGTCTCTGGTGCAGGTCCTGGTTCTCTGGCACTATACACAGTCCTGGTGCAGGTCCTGGGTTTCTGGTACTATCCACAGTCTCTGGTGCAGGTCCTGGTTCTCTGGCACTATACACAGTCCTGGTGCAGGTCCTGGTTCTCTGGCACTATACACAGTCTCTGGTGCAGGTCCTGGGTTTCTGGTACTATACACAGTCCTGGTGCAGGTCCTGGGTTTCTGATACTATCCAGAGTCTCTGGTGCAGGTCCTGGTTCTATGGCATTATACACAGTCTCTGGTGCAGGTCCTGGTTCTCTGGCACTATACACAGTCCTGGTGCAGGTCCTGGTTCTCTGGCACTATACACAGTCCTGGTGCAGGTCCTGGTTCTCTGGCACTATACACAGTCCCTGGTGCAGACTCTAGTACTCCGGCACTGTACACAGGTTCTGGTGTACGTCTTGTAACTCCGGCACTGTACACTGTCTGTGTTGCAGTGTGGTTCTCTCATGCTCTGGTGTCTGCAGTAACTGAAGTTTTTTTTTTTCGCTTTCCTTTTCTGTATCTCTGCCGCTCCTCCCATTTAACAGCACTGTGATAAACTTTTATCTGGCTGACAAGTTACTCTATAAAGAGAAATGATCAGGCTGTGACACCTTGCACTCATGTTACGGTATATACACATTATATAGGACTAGCATACATAGCGGAATTTGCCGTGGTATCTGTCTCCTGGTCACCCAGCTTCATCAGGGCTGGGTTTGCTGTCTGTATAACACAACCAATAGTTAGGAAAAAAAGAGTGACCGCGTCACTGAGTTGCTTTTCTCGCTCATTTTCCAGCCACAGCCTCCAGTGGGTCCCGACTCAGATGCAGCATTCATGCAAAACTGTCACATGTAGTTTGGATACTTTGTGACAAAAGTAGGTACTTGAGCTACCCCTGGGCATGCAGCCTATAGGCAGGGCTGGTGCTACCACTAGGAGATCTAGGCTGCCACCTAGGGCGCAACCACGGCCGCTGGTTTCTCTACTCTCTGCCATGACCAGATCTAGGGGGGTGCTGGGGTGGGCTACACCCATCCAGATTTTAGTTTCCCCCCCAGTCCAGTGTGACAGGAGTCACTTTGGGTGGGGGGCCTATGGAACCAAGCTCATTTTGGAGAGGTGGGGAGACCCCTGTCTCAGCACCCCATATCCCTTTTATGTGTAAGTCACCCTGTGCCTGTTAGGGGTACAGGCTGATCTGTCCTAATATTGTGTAGACATACAGTATATAGGTGGGGTGGGGGTTGTGGATTGTTTAATGCCATGTGGTTGCATCCCATTGTTCTATTGTGTGTCTTGCTTGGGCGCAAACTGTTATGGGATGTATGTGTTTATGTGTATTAGCTTAGTGGGGGGGGGGGGGGTCTCCAGCAGTCCTCCCTCCTGATGGGACTATCTGCTGGTGTGGAGTTTGAATACCTGTGTGTCTCTCGTTACTAAATGTAGATTGCTCTGCCCTGTATCATTATGCAGGGAGGGGGGATTTGTCCCCTGAGTGTATAAAAAGCCAGTTCGAGTTTCAAATAAAGAGTTCCATGTTCAGACAGACTGGTGGCGTGTAGTCTTGTATGGTCAGCTGTGGTGTCTGTGGTCGGTGTTCGTACGGGAAAGCAGTATTCTAACGGAAGTACCCAAGCACAGACTGGGCCTGTTCCATTACAGCTGGTCTTTCCATGGATGCTGTGCCTGATCGCTAAGTGCCTTCCCCCATCCCCACACTCATGGCTGGGACCAGGGGCAGACTGACAACTCATGGGGCCCCCGGGCAATAGGGGATCATAGGGCCCCTGTGTCCTTGCCCAAACTCAAAAAAGCCTATGAAAAAGGTACCAGGGGCATCTAATGGGGCCCCCTATTGACCCCGGGCCCTGGCTGGGACAAGGGGAGTGCAGCCATACATATTGGAATTTGCCATGGTATCTGTCTCCTGGTCACATTTGGGAAAGTGAAGGGCAACATCAGGGCTGGATTTGCTGTCTGTATAACACTGTGAACATGCAATCAATAGTTGGCTGCAAAAGAGTGACCACGTCAATGTGCTGCTTTTCTCGTTCATTTTCCAGCCACAGCCTCCAATGGGTCCTGACTCAGATGTAGGTTAGCAGGTAGGGGTATATTAACAGCATTCATGCAAACTCTCACATGTAGTTTGGATCCTTTGCAACAAAAGTAGGTACCTTGAGCTACCCTGGGGCATGCAGCCTATAGGCAGGGCTGGTGCTACCACTAGGAGATCTAGGCAGCCGCCTAGTGTGCAACCTTGGCCACTGGTTTCTCTACTCTCTGCCATGACCAGATCTAGGGGGGTGATGGAGTGGGTTATGCCCCCCCCAGGCCGGTCTTTCCAGGTAAGCTGTGCCTGGCTGTTGAGTGCCTTCTCCCATCCTCACACTCATGGCTGGGACAAGGAGAGAGCAGCCTGTAGCAGTGAAGTCTGCAAAGGAGAAATTACAGGAATTTTTGATTCTGCTTCTTCGAATGTTCTCACCACTACTGTCATCGGTTTGACCACAATACCCATTAGAAAACCGAATGAACATTCCAAAAATGAAAAATTTTGAACAAAATTCTACCTGTGCATGGCCAGGTTCATACAGGCAGTGAACAGGACAGGCAGAGTACAGGCAGATCTCCAAGGGTTGGATTACACTGGCATCATCTTCTGAAAAGCAATCTGCAGAGGATCACTTTTCAGGGGGCACTTGACAGTTGGTCAGGAAGCAGCTGGCCACTAAAGCTCGTACCACCGTGCCGCAACAGCATACATTACATGTGGTTGTGGGGCAGTTGTAAGTTGAACGGACCGTGTTTGGAGGATGCTGCGCAACGATACTTTACACACCAATCACTGCCTTTGCAGCTTAATAGGAAGCAGTTGTAAATATACAACTGAACCACATGTATTTACTTCCCCTTGAACCTCAAGATCTCTAATACAGGCAGGGCACAAGACAGGTGGAATACAGGCAGATCTGTAATACGCGCTGTCACGGAGCTGGTCCTTCCTCCCCCATCCTTTAGGTTTGCTGCCTGTGACCCCCCCACTCCTCAGCAGCCCCTCACTCTTCTGTCCCGTCCATGCTGGGACTTCTAGTCCTCCGTGTCCCTGACACAGGCAGCCCTCAGCAGCCCCTCACCCCCCTGTCCCTGGCAGTCTGGCCCCCTGCTGAGGGAATCCAAAAACAGGCCCCCCTCCTCCCTTCCCCCTCATGCACATCTTCCCAGGCTCCATGCTGGAGGCCGTGTTCCCTGGGTGGGTCTGAAGACCTG